GAAGACAGGAGTGACATTTGCTTTCCTCCAGTCCTCAGGCACCTCTCCCGTTTCCCAAGACTTGGCAAAGATGATGGAGAGCGGTCTAGCAATGACCTCAGCCAGTTCCCTCAGCACCCGCGGGTGCATCCCATCTGGACCCATGGATTTATGGATATCCAGATTGCTCAACTGGTCTTTAACCCATTCCTCATCGACTAAGGCAGACCGCTCCGTCGACCTATCTTCATCCGGGGTCTCAGCGGTACAGGGCTCTTCAGGACTGCCTCCAGCAGAGTAGACAGAGACAAAGAAGTCATTCAGTAACTCTGCCATCTCTGTATCTTCTGTCACCAGGGCACCCGTCCCGTTCATCAGCGGGCCTACATTGCCTCTGGTGTTAGTTTTACCTGCCATGTATTTGAAAAAGCTCTTTCTGCTGTCCTTGACCCCTCTCGCCAGCTTTAATTCCAAGGAGGCCTTAGCCATCCTAGCAGCTTTCCTACATCCTCTAGCAGCAGCCTTATATTCTTCCCAAGTGGCCAGCCCTTCTTTCCATGACCTGTAAACTCTCCTCTTCCACTTGAGCATACCGAGCAATTCCCTATTTAGCCACGCAGGTCTCCTGACTCTCTTCCTTGACTTCCTACGTGTCGGGATGCTCCGATCTTGAGCTCGGAAAAAGCAGTCCTTGAACGTCAACCAACTATCTTGGGCCCCTTTCCCTTCAAGCAGCCTAGCCCACTGGATTTCCCCTAGCAATCGCTTGAAGAGGCCAAAGTTTGCCCTGCTAAATTCCAGGGTTGCGATTCTACTTGCTATTCTACTGACCCTACCACACAAGATCCTGAATTCTACCATCTCGTGGTCGCTGCAACCAAGGCAGCCCTCAACCTTCACTCCTTCAACCAGACCCTCCTTGTTAGTGAGGATGAGATCCAGCAGCACACCTCTCCTGGTTGGCTCATCCACCATTTGCATGAGGAAGTTATCATCCATACACTGGAGGAACCTCCTGGACCGCGGCTGGGTTGCCGAGTAGTCCTTCCAGCAAACATCAGGGAAGTTAAAATCCCCCACGACGACCACGGCCTGTGACCGTGAGGCCGCTGTCAGCTGCCTGTAGAAGGCCTCATCAACTTCCTCACCCTGATCCGGTGGCCTGTAACAGACCCCCACAACAGTATCGCCCCTGCCAGCCTGCCCCTTAATTCTCACCCACAGACTCTCAACTCGCTCATCATCTGTCCCCGGACAGAACTCAACGCATTGTAGCTGCTCTCGCACATAAAGAGCAACCCCACCACCCCGCCTGTCTGGCCTGTCTTTCCTGAAAAGGACATAGCCCTCCATGACTATATTCCAGTCATGTGAGCTGTCCCACCACGTCTCTGTAATTGCCACCAGATCATAATCTCCCGACTTAACACAGGTTTCCAGCTCCTCCTGCTTATTTCCCATGCTGCGCGCATTGGCGTACAGACATTTCAGGGAGCGAGCCAAGCACACCGATTTCACCCTAGGATTACAGGAGGCCTCCCAGCCTTCATCAATTCCGGAGCGCTGTCCCACTGAGGCAAGCCAAGCTACAACCCCATCCCCCTTCAAATCTAGTTTAAAGCTCTCCAAATGAGCCCCGCTAATTCGTGCCCCAGCATCCTTTTACCTCTGTGCGATAAACCTTTCCCACATGCCAATGTCCAGGCCGGTGCCCTATAAAACCAGCCGTTATCAAAGAATCCAAAGCCCTGCCTGGAGCACCAGCCTCGAAGCCAATCGTTTATGGACTGCATTTTCCCATTCAGTCCCACATCATCAACAGAAGATGGAAGGAGCGAAGAGAAGATCACCTGAGCCCCAGAGTCTTTCACCATCCGCCCCAAGGCCCTGTAGTCTTTCTTAATCTCCCTCAGACTGCGGGAAGCAACTTCCCCTTCACCCGTCTGGAAGACCAGCAGCGGGTAGTAGTCTGTCGGGCGCTCCAGGTTGGGGAGCACCCTGGTGATATCCCTGATCCGGGCTCCAGGCAGACTACACACTTCCCTATGGGTAAAGTTAGTTAAGTACCATGGGGGTAAAGTTAAATTGTAATAACATATATAGCACATGATACTATGTAACTTACAATGAGAAAATTTTAGAACTTATATATGTATAGAGCCTAATTGTTTTGACATAATATCTACTATTGTCTCCATATTTACAAAGTAATAATAAAAATTATTTAGACTGACTCTAAGCACAAAACATTGCTGGTGTGTCTTTCCATTTGATTTTATTTTCAGGATTAGTGGAGGAGATGGAAAAAAGAGAGAAATGGGAAAAAAAGCATGAAAGCTGGATTTGTTAACATTTCACATTCCCATTGTACCTTTTCTCCCTCTTGCTTCTATTTTCTTATGTGGGATTCACCTTAGCTAAATGTGGATATTTGAATGCCTGAGTCACAGAGGACACTTTACATAGCTGACAGCAAGAAGAAAGCAATTCTGCTGAAGGCATGGATAAATGGACAAACAAATAAATAAATGTGTATCTGTTGTGGGTTAACCTTGGCAAGCACATAAACACCATACAGTCAATCACATCTGCAGTGGATGGGGGAGGGAATCGAAAGGCAGAAGTGAAATAACTTGTGGGCTGAGGCAAAGACACTTTACTAGGTAGAGAAAAAGCTGCATGCACAAGCAAAGCAAAATGAAGAATTCATTCACCACTTCCTATGCTGTATTCAACAATCTCCAGGAAAGCAGGGCTCAATCAGGCGTAATGGTTACTGGGAACTCAAACACCCTAAATCTGAATATCCCCCCTTCCTCCTTCTTTCCCCTGAGCTTTTATTGCTGAGCATGTCATCACGTGTTACGGGATATCCCTTTGGTCAGTTGGGGTCAGCTATCTCAGCTGTGTCCCCTCCTATCTCCTTGTGTACCCAAGCTTAGTTGCTGACAGAGCACTATGAGAAACAAAGAAAAGTACTGATTTTGTGAAAGCACTGTTCAGCAATAACTAAAACATTAGTGTGTTTTCAACACCATTTTTGTCACAAATCCAAACATAACACCATACAAGTTTCTGTGAAAAAAAAAACTCTATTCCAGTCAAAACCATTACAGTACTATGGCTTTAAATGGTTACTGGTTTCAAGATGAAGTTTGAAAAAATGCTAAGAAAATTTTGGGATACCTGAGTGTCCTGGGTTCAGCAGTAGCAGTCATTCTTCTCCTTCTTAGTAGCTGGTGCAGTGCTGTGATTTTGACTTTCAGCCTGGGAACAGCGCTGATAACACTGACGTTTTTAGTTGTTGCTAAGTAATGTTTACTCTGACCAAGGACTTTCTGAGTCTCATGCTCCACCAGGGAGGAGAGGAAGCAGGGAGGAAGCAGAGACAGGACACCTGACCCAAACTAGCCAAAGAGGTATTCCATACCATAGCACATCATGCCCAGTATATAAACTGGGGGCAGTCACAAGGAAGGGCTAGATCACTGCAGGGGTCAGGCTGGGTATTGGTCAGCCGGTGGTGAGCGATTGCATTCTCTTCCCTTGTTATTTCCCTTATTATTATTATTATCGGTGGTAGCAGTAGTGATTTGTGTTATACCTGATTTACTGGACTGTTCTTATCTCAACGCGAGGGAGTCACACTCTTCCTCATCCATTCAAGAGTGGGAAGAGGAAGGGGGAAGTGAGCAAAGACCTGCGTGATTCTGGGTTGCCGGCTGGGCTTACACCGTGTCATGGTTTAAACACAGTCACCCTCTCACTCCCCCGCCTTTTTGCCCTGCTTTTTGCCCTTGGAGGGATGGGGAGGAGAATCAAAAAATGCAACTCCCAAGGGTTGAGATAAGAACAGTTTAGTAACTAAGGTATAACACAAATCACTAGTGCTATCACCAGTCATAATAATGATAAAGGAAATAACAAAGGAAGATAATACAGCACCTCACCACCTGCCAAACAATAACTCACCCAACCCCACCTGATCGAGCACTGACTGATACCTAGTCCAATCCCGCAGAGAACTAGCCCTTCCAGGTCATTCTCAGTTACATCCTGGACATGACATGCTGTGGTTTCAAATACCTCTTTGGTCAGTTTGGATCAGGTGTCGTGTCTCTGCTTCCTCCTGGCTTCCTCTCCTTCCTGGCAGAGCATGAGACTCACAAAGTCCTTGGTCAGTCTAAACATTTGAGCAGTAACTTAAAAACATCGGTGTTATCAGCACTGTACCCAGGCTGAAAGTCAAAACCACAGCATTGCACCAGCTACTAAAAGGAGAAAAAATTACTGCTGCTGCTGAACCCAGGACAATATCCCCCTTTATTCCATACCATTCACGTCATGCTCAGATCCCACATTTTCAATATACCATCACTCTTATATATATACATCCACATACACACACAGACAGAAAGAAATAGATCATTTCTTAGTATATGGACCAATCCCTATAATGCTGCTGAGTCCATTCTGTCCATTATGTTGGGCTCCACCTCTTGTAACAGTCTTTCAGAGCACGAGAGGCTGTGTGCAGTGTTCACACTCATGAATAACCTGGGCAACAGTGTCCATTGCTAAGTCCACCCCTCGATCATAAGTCCACCTCTATGTTGCATCTCTGCCTTGATGGCCTGAAGTGTCATGGGCCCACCAGGCTCAAAATAATTCACTGTCTCCTTCAACAGTTTCTGCAGCTTGTGGCTGGAGACTTCATAGAGGTGCCTTCCATCTCCAATGCTTCCAAAGCACAGGAGGGGCCCAGTGGACTAGATACTCGCCTATACTTTCCCACACACCCTGCCACTCATGACTGTCCAGCCTCGGGGTAAATCTCCTGGTCCTCCTATATCGTCATCTAACCCTAGACAAGACCCAAATCTGACTCTGCTTAACTTTTGAGATCAGACAAAATAGTCATGGGTAGAACACACTCTGTGTGTGTACCAACATGCTGATCTCCATCACTATCAGCAGGCAGGTCCCAAGGATACCCAAAAGCCATTGAAAACCTTCAGAACTCTCAAATGATGCTGCTGTACTTATCACTGGGGCTGGTGTAGCTGCTGTGCTTGCCGGCTCTCCCACCACCAGCTTCTCTTTTTCTGAGTCCAGATCTTCCTCCTCTGCCTTTCTGGGAAATGCTGTGTGGTCTCCTGGATCCTCCACTTGTCCCAGGTGCCCAAGGCTGGACCCAGCTGAGGCTCCCAAAGGTGGTATCTTGCTCTCCGCATCCTCCTGGGTCTCGGCTTGCGGGGTTCTGGTCTCCTCCATGGGCCTCAGCTCCTCTGTGGGGCTCAGCTCCTCTGCCACCACCTCCCGCTGCTTGGCAGCCACCTCCTTCCACTCCTCGACCGCCCCGACCTCCTCCACCAGTAGCCACTCCCTGCCGGCCTCTGGCCCTGCTCCCACCACTGCCTAGTCTCCAAGGCCGCTCTCCTGGGCCACTTCAGCTGCCACCAGCTCCTGGGGCTGCTCCCCCTCAGCTCCCCGCAGCCTCATGAAGACAGAGGCAAGGATGAGGGCCAAGACAGTGAAGAGCAGTGGGATGGCCATGTACAAGTCCACAGCCATGTCCATCTCGCCCCCCTGCCGGAGGCTGCCCATGTTACAAGTCATTACCATAAACTACAATAAAACAAGAATCTTAGCCCAAGCCCCACACTTGATAAACATCAACACAGCATATACCGGCTGTAAGTAATGTACTACATTCTGAAACTGTGAGATCAGAAGGAACAATTTTGTCAGCCAATAAATCAGCATTGTGACGAGTGACTATTAATCCAGTCAGATCTGTTGTTATCTCAACCTCTTGTGCCCCATGTTGGGTGCAAAAAAGAAATGTGGTTTAAACACAGTCAGCCATAAATCACGCAGTTGCCCTCTCACTCCCCTGCCTTTTTGCCCTGCTTTTTGCCCTTGGAGAGAAGGGGAGGAGAATCAAAATAATGCAACTCCCATGGGTTGAGATAAGAGCAGTCCAGTAACTAAGGTTTAGCACAAACCCACTACTGCTACCACCAATAATAATAATGGTAAAGGAAATAACAAAGGAAGATAATACAGCACCTCACCACCTGCCAACCAATAACTCACCCCACCCCACCTGATCGAGCACTGACTGATACCTAGTCCGACTCCGGAGAGAACGAGCCCTTCCGGGTCACTTGCTGTTACATCCTGGGCATAACATGCTGTGGTTTGGAATACCTCTTTGGTCAGTTTGGATCAAGTGTCCTGTCTCTGCTTCCTCCTGGCTTCCCCTCCTTCCTGGCAGAGCATGAGACTCACAAAGTCCTTGGTCAGTCTAAACATTTCAGCAGTAACTTAAAAACATCGGTGTTATCAGCACTGTGCCCAGGCTGAAAGTCAAAACCACAGCATTGCGCCAGCTACTAAGGAGAAAAATGACTGCTACTGCTGAACCCAGCACAAACCATAACAGTTCTTTTTGGTGACCAACATGGGGCATGAAGGGTTGAGATAACAACAGATCTGACTGGAGAGTGTTTAATCGTATCTGTGAGAGACATTTATTGTCTCAGATTAATAGTCACTTGCCACAATGCTGATTTATTGCCTCTGAAATTTGTTGCTTTTGATCTCACACTTTCAGCATGTCGTACCTTACTTACAGCTGGTATTTGCTGTGTTAGTGTTTATTGGCTGGGGGGTTTAGACTAAGGTTCTTGTTTCAGTGTACTTTATGGTAATGACTTGTGATAAAATAGAATCATTGATCATGAAACTGATCTGTCTTGTGTTCCCAGTGTGGTCATCACCTCTGTACTTGGGAGGTATATAGTAGAAGTGCTTAGCAATTACACATCTATTTTCCCCTCTTTGGGTGGTCAACTCATGAAGGAGACATTCATTTATGATCCCAGCCCTTCCACCAGACTATTTACAGCATCATTTGAGAGTTCTGAAGGCTTGAATGGCCTTTAGGTACCCTTGCGACCTGCATGCTGATTGTGATGGGGATCATCATGTTGGCACACATACAGAGTGTGTTCTACCCACAACCATTTTGTCTGATCTCGAAAGTTAAGCAGAGTCGGGTTTGGGTCTTGTCTAGGGTTAGATGACAATATAAGAGGACCAGGAGATTTTCCCCGAGGCTGAACATTCATGAGTGGCAAGGTGTGTGGGACAGTATGGACAAGTACCTAGGCCAGTGGGTCCCTCCTGTGCTTTGGAACTTCACCACTGAACAAGTGCAAAATCTAGAATAATTGGTAAAACACTTAAATGAGGTGTGTTGTCATCCTGGTCATACCAGAGATGGACAAATCATGGCAACATGTTGGGGCTTGGCCTGTGCTCATAGAGCCCTGCTCAACACTATCCAGCACCTTCAAAGGGAAAAAAATGTTTCTGGATCCTATGGCAAAGCAACTGGCAACACAACTACTCCAACTCCAAATACAGCAGCTAGACCAACTCCAGTGACAAGCACGGCAGCTACTCAAATTCTGGCTACAACAGACAGCATAGCTGCTCCAGCTTCAAGCACAGCAGCTGCACCAGCCCCAGTGACAATTACAGCACCTACTCAAACTCCGAATACAACAGACAGCACAGCTAGGCCAATTCCAAGCACAGCAGCTACACCAACCCCAATGGCAAGCACAGCGTTTGTATTTTACAGTATTAGCAACAAAGGGCTCTTTCTTAAACATTCTGAATATGCAAGAGTTCAAAAAATCTAATTTAGTAACTTTCTGAAATCTTGTTGCCCACTTTTCATTTTTATTCTTCAGTAGCTAAGGTGAATATTAATGAGAAACAATTCCATCTTGTAGAATGATCATTTTTAGGCAGCCCCATTAACAGCATTGCAATTACATATAGATACTCAGGACAGGAAAAGAAAACTCTCATTATACTCTCCTTTGGCATGTATATTTATCTATTCTGTGTAGTTTATATAAAATATTTAATTTCAAATATCTTTATTATTTTATTTTATTATTTATTATTATTATTTTATTATTTATTATTATTTTATTATTTATTATTATTTTATTATTTTATTCCTCTGTACACGCCTGGAAAACTGACAGGATTGTAATTTGATGAAAGGTTCTCTCTGCCAAAAATCCTCCCTTTTTTTATCAAGTAATTCAAATTTCTCCTGCCTATTTTTTTTAACAGCCATTGTTACCTGCTAGCAAATAAGAAACAATTTGACTATCCAGGAATACAATGACAGTTTGAGTTATCAGGTGAGTTATGTTATCTGAAATGAATAGAAACCCCCTTAATAGTCTGGCAGGATGTCATCCTGGCAACAGTATTGTTAGCCCATCCGGTTTCCCTAGTAAAGATAAACTGAATCAATCAGAAAACGGTTTGTTTCTTATGGTAACTGTAATGCAATCACTCCAGAGCACTTCATAACAGTAGATGCAAGATACAGTCATGTTTCTACAGCAGTTATATTCTCCAAATATTAATTTCAGGCTGTCTGAAATGTTACATCATTGTCACCATACTGGGAAGCTAATACCACACGATACATAAATAACATACATTTCTATTTAATGCTTGAATGTGGAAATAGTGTTTTCTCATGACGATCTTCATGTTTAAGTTTAAATCTTGGTTATAATATGCTGTCTGTAAGAAAGAAAGATGACAGAGTTGGGGGCTTATACACATTTCAATATTAATAAGTGGGGAAAAAAAGGAAGAGCCACAGACTTGCAAAAAATCTAGCAATCTTGAAAAAGATACTGACCAGCATGAGCACACTGAATGGATGTAAAGTCCACAACTATATGTGAAAGTGTCTCTAATGAAAGAACATGTCTGTGTAAATAGATGCTCCGTAGGAAGCATAGTGAAATCTTATAGCCTGGATCCCTTTTACAATGCCTAAACAAAAAAAAGGTATTTCTATCTTTGTGTGCAATAATCATACAGGGATAGAGAGACTAAGGTCCTTGGTTCAATACTTTCCCAAACAAATCTTCCTCAAGATTCTATGATTCTAAGATGATTATACTCACACAAATTTTGAAGCAGAAGTGCACAGCTTGAGCAAGATGTGAAGACTCGCAGATGAGCAAGGTGAAGGAAGAAGGGCCTTTTCTGTTTTCATAGGATTGTCCCAGAGCCACTGCTTATCCAGGAAAACCAGTCACACACAAGACAGAGGCACAGATATTCCACACCAGGGTCCACAACACTATATCTGGCACTTCATTTCTGAGTGCTCCAACAACTATAAAGATGTAATGTTACTTACAATTTTAAAATTTTTGCAGAGGACCTGGACTGAAATTGAGTATAACAGTGTGCCTAAACCTAGATCAGAACTGTGTTGCCTATCTGTTTATGTTGTGGTGACACTTTCTCTGGGAGGTAACAGGCAACTTCAAAATAGCATTTTGGAAGTCCAAGTGCCGGGTGGAGTAAGGAAAACAGTAAAGATAAAAGGCCAATATAAGGTCAAGTGATTGCAGGATAGTGACATATATATTACTGTCTGGAACTTAGATGTGTTTCATACCAACAATTAATTACCTTTTTTTTGTGTATGTTTGTAATGCTCATATTTGGCAGTAAATATGCAGGCTTCATCCAGAGCTGAAATTAAAATTAAGTAGGATAATGGGAACACTTTTTGTGTAATTGACATATTTATTCATGGGGCTGAGTAGAACAAACGGTTTGCAATAAAATAAAAGCAAAATGAAAAGTATATTTCTGATCACTTGGTAACAGTACAGCTAAGGAAACACACCTGTATGCAAACTGATTTGCTAGTTGAGATGTTGTAAATTTACACTGTTGTTGCTTCCAGATCACTGTTGTTGATTCCAGATCAAAGCTAAATGCTTATAAATGCCTTTGACTTCAGTAGAAGGCAAAAGTTAATCAGTTAAAAAAAAAAATTACCATCTTAATGACACATATATACCTTCAACTGCGAGAAAAAGGGAGAAAAAAGAAGTATGGCCTATTTCAGTATGAAAACTTGATTCCTGTACATATGAACCTGTTTCGGAGGGTGTTGTAATCAATGGTGTGAATCTATAAATCTGGGTGATAATTTTAAAAAGAGATTACTGTCATAGCATCTACCATCTAGAATATACACAGTATCTAGAGAATACATAGTATGTCTGAGTTTTTGAAGCAATCAGCATTTGGTATTGAGATACTAAACCTAACTTTATTCACCTAAACACTCATAGCAGTAGTAGAGCGGAGCTCAGGACCTCATATTCATAACTAGAAAACATGTAAAAGCTGAGGATTTATCATACTAAAAGTTCTTTTCTGTCCTTACTGTTTCCCTACAGATAGCTTGAACAGTGTATATTGAACACTGAACACTGAGTGTTCTGTATTTACATTTTTTGTCATTGTATATATTTGTCTGATAGATACTGCCAGTTTTACCCCTCAGTACATCATCTAATATTTGGACCTGAATTTAGCTATCGTACTGCCTATAAAGTTTCAGATCACATTGTCTTTACAGTGCTTTATTACAGAATAATAACGAGGGAAAAAAATGTTGCTCATTAGAGTTAATTATTTTGTAATTATAAATATGAAAGTAA